CTGCTTTTAATGACAATTTTACATTTCTGGGATATGATAATTCAAACTTTATTTACTTAATAGGTTTTCCAATCCTAATACTTATTATGAATGTACTATTAACTTTGCTGTATTTTGCAATGTCAAAGATAAAGTTAAAGCCGTAAGTTTTATTATTTTTAATTCTCTATAGAATCAGAATACTAACAAGGAAAATGAGAAATTATCTATTTTTTAGCTTTTACATTAGATTCTTCATTGAGATTTCATTAGAAGCTAGCTTTTCGTCAATTATTGCATTTAGTGATTTAAATCTATTTTCTAAAGGTGATTATTTCGCTTTTGGATTCGCAATTTTATCAATAAGTTTAAACTGGTGCTTCATTTTTTTACTTCCATGGCTTTTGTTTAAATACAGGTAAAATCCCTCTAATAAGCAAAATACTTAGTATCTAGCTGAAATATTAGACGATACCAATCCTAATAACATTATGATGATATTTTATCACTCCTATTTTGTTCTTAGAAGATTCATCTTTGTTGCGATAACATTCCTACTTTAGGAGGAACTTTATCTATAAATAATATTCTTTCGCTTTTTCAGTGTTCTGAATATAGCATATTTATTACATGGAAAACCTAAACTTGATTCGCTAAAAATAGAGGTTTTTAATGAGTTTTGTACCTTATATTTAAGTTATGTAATGTTGATTTATACTGATTTTGTAAATTCTTGGGAAATCAAACAAATTTCTAGCTTTGTTTTTATTTCTATTTACATCTTCAATCTAATTGTAAATGTTGTCATAATAGTTTTAGATTTTCTTGACATTTTAAAGCTAAAATTTAAAATTCTTTTATTTCGATTGAGACTGAAAAGAGCTATAAGATCCTAAATAGATAATAAGAAATTTATTCTAAATAAAAATGCAAATAATCAGAAAAAGTTCTCAAAAAATTAGCCTTAAAAATAACTTAAAAGCTTAACAATAATAGGAGAAAGTGATAATGAGGAGACAGAAGAACGAGATGAATCCTCATCAAGACCATTGAATCAGTTGGAGATGAGCTAATCAATAAAACCTCTAATTCTTTAAGGTAAAGGAATAAAAAAATAAAGAAAGTTAAATTTAAGGGGTAATAAATAAGAAAATAATAACTTTAAAGTAGATAAATTTAAAATAATATTAGAGTAACTAGATAAAAATACTTAAATAGAATCATTCGAGTCAATAAGTAATTCAGATAGCGATGATAATACTGCTTAATTTAAGAGTGGATCAGGCCAAGGAAGTGGAGGATCTACTGAAAATTTAAAAGAATCTAATTCTCCAGATGGAATAACAAATTAAAATTAAGATTAATTGTCCTTATTTAATTTGCCTCAGTTCATACAAACTTTAAGCAACTAAGATTTGACCACCAGATATCTAGCTTCTCAAAACAGTTTAAGTTGTAGGAATATGCCAATAAATGCTCAGTTCAAATTTAGAGTTATACCCATAAAGAAGGACAATTTTATAGCGCCTAAGAGATATAGTCAAATTTATCCTGCTTCTTACCTAAATCCTTTTTTTATCAGCACTCCTACAAGTAATTAAAAGTAGTAATTTCATAAATCAGGCAACTAAAATAGATAAGATGATATTGAGGAGTTGAAATTTGAAACTAGTTCAAATTAAAGTCAATAAAATAGAAATTTATCATAAAGAAATAATGATAGCCTTTAGCAGGATGAAGATTCAAGCAGAAATTTAATTGCCTTTACAAATTAGGAATAACCAATAATTAATTACTACAAAAGAGAACCAAGGAAAAAATTGAGTCAGTTAACATAATAAAATCGCAATGTAATAATGATCCAAACAAAATAAGTTTCCTACCCGGAAGCTGATATAAATGAACAAGCTGATTCCTAAAAAACATCAACACTTATTAATTTAAGACAAACGGCTACCAACTTTAGTCAATCTGTTTAATAGAACCTAAGTACTTACAAGAGACAAGTTAAAAATTTACTAAAGACACCTTAAGTAAATAAAAGTAACTTAACTGATAAAAATTAGTTATACAGAATATGAATTTAAACAAATTTTATCTAAATAATTTGATATTTTGATGATTTTTCATTATAACTTATCTTATGGGGTTTTGGGGTTTTGGGGTTTT